AGATGGCAGGAATTACCGTTGGTACAGTAATTAAACATAATGGCAGGAATTACTGCTGGTACAATAATTAAACATGACGGCTGGATTTACCGCTTGTACAATAATTAAACATGATGGCTGGAATTACCGCTGGTACAATAATTAAACATGATGGCAGGAATAACCAATGGTTAAATAATTAAACATGATGGCCCGAATTACCGCTGGTGCAAAAATTAAACGTGATGGCTGGAATTACCGCTGTTACAATAATTAAACATGATTGCAGGAATTACTGCTGGTACAATAATTTAACATAATGGCAGGAATTACTGCTGGTACAATAATTAAACATGATGGCTGAAATTACCGCTGGTCCAATAATTAAACTTAATGGCAGGAATTACCGCTGGTCCAATTAAAAAACTTGATGGCAGGAATTACCGCTGGTACAATAAAAAAACATCATGACTGGAATTACTGCTGGTACAATAATTAAACATGATGGCAGGAATTACCGCTGGTAAAATAATTTAACATAATGGCAGGAATTACTGCTGGTACAATAATAAAACATGATGGTAGGAATTACCGCTGGTACAATAATTAAAGAAGATGGTAGGAATTACCGCTAGTACAATAATTAAAGAAGAAAGGGGTGGCATTACCGCTGGTTCAATAATTAAAGAAGATGGTAGGAATTACCGCTGGTACAGTAATTAAAGAAGATAGCAGGAATTACGGCTAGTCCAATAATTAAACATGATAGCAGGAATTACAGCTGGTACAATAGTTAAACATGATGGCAGGAATTACCACGGATACAATAGTTAAACCTGATGATAGACAGGCTGGTTCTGCACCACTTGGTGGTGAACTGATGTATGTCAAGTTAGATATTGTGAGAGCCCTTTTGGAAACAAGTGAACAGTGCGGAGGCGCAGATAGATCATTAGGGTCTCAGGAGAATGGCGCTGCGAGGAGTTACCATGGGATCTGGCCGACGCTCAACACTCAGGTAAAGGATGAGACGGATATACAATCAGTCAGCTAGCGATACCATCGGATTTGGAACTGTTCGCTTGCTGTTGAAGATGCTGACTTAGCACTTATGGGAGTGTTCCGAGTGATGTGATGTCGATTCTCAATTCAACATTTATAAAAAGACACGAAAGAAAACTGGCCATCTGCAAAATAAGATGTCTAAGAAAGGCAGAGAACAAAACTAGACGAGGTCATGCAAGTAACGAATCAATTACAACAACTATTGGAACAACGCCTATAATTACATTCACTGAAAAACAAAGACTCAATTGATTTTGCTATTAGATAAGAAAGAATCAAATAATGTCAGATGAGAACGAAGAACATAAAAGTAGAAACACCAACAGACGTAGGGGACGACCAACAAGGAAATGGACTGAAGGGTTGACTGATACTCTGAGACTCTACAACATCAGAGCATACCGGACAACCGTCATGCCCTAGCTCGGATGCAGCTTATCTGTTAACATGCGACACCTCCCTCCCCACCACCCCCCCCCCAACCCCACTTTCCCCGCACCCCCACCCAAAAATAAAAATGAAAGATAGACAATAAATCAACAACATGATGACAAGAAAGTCACAACCACAACAAATTAACATAGTTCTTTGGAGGAGCGGGGGGGTTGAATAGAGGAGGGAAAACGTTTGGCACAACAAACTAATAGCATGTTGGCTTGACTGGAAAATCACAACTAAAGTGCAACAATAACAGCAACAACAACCCGCCATTTGACGGCCTCATTTCTACTAAGACGTAATTTAATTGACTGCAAGTGGTTGGTGGATCTACAACAAGCCTCTCCTTGATAGAAAGTTTTAGAAGGGAATCCTTATAAATCTGCTGAAAGGCCACGGCGTGTCCAGAGAAACTGTCCACTGCGTCAAGACTAGGCATGTACAGCTGTTTGTTTGGCTACATTTATATCCTGGACAAACGCGGTTAGCAATGATAAACAGGGAAATGGGTTCAGATAAACAGGGAAGTGGGTACAGATAAACAGGGAAGTGGGTTCAGGTAAAAAGGGAAGTGAGTTCAGGTAAACAGGGAAATGGGTTCATGTAAAAAGGGAAGTGAGTTCCAGATAAACAGGGAAGTGAGTTCAGGTAAATAGGGAAATGGGTTCATATAAACAGGAAAGTGAGTTCAGATAAACAGGGAAGTGGGTTCCAGATAAACAGGGAAAAGAGTTCAGATAAAAAGGGAAGTGAGTTCAGATAAACAGGGAAGTGGGTTCAGATAAACAGAGAAATGGGTTAAGGTAAACAGGGAAGTTGGTTCCAGATAAACAAGGAAGTGGGTTCAAGTAAAAAGGGAAGTCAGTTCGGATAAACATGGAAGTGGGTTCAGATAAACAAGGAATTATTTCAGATAAACAGGGAAGTGGGTTCAGATGAACAGGGAAGTGGGTTCAAATAAACAGAGAAGTGGGTTCAGATAAACATAGAAGAGGGCGGAGACTGTGGAATTAGAAGTGGCGTAATTCGTGTTGTAATGGCCGGCTAAGCCAGTTGTTGTCTTTCTGCTTCTACTCCTCGCCTTCTCTTCTTGTTCGTGTTCATATTCCTGCTCCTCTTCTTTGTTAAACACATCATCCACCGACTGATCAACAGATAACGGGTCCGTGTTGTTGCATCAAACATGGTCCATTGGCTTTTATCATCAACTCCCGTGCAGTTGTTCTGTCTCTTAACACAGAGTCATCTGATTTGATTAATCACATTACTTTGGGCGTAGACTGCGGTCTCAAGAGAAATGGTGCAGAGAGAAGCGACACAAGATCTGGCCGACACTCAACATTCAGGAGTAAAGGCGAGACGGATATGAATTCAGACTGCTACTGGTACTGCAGAACTGGCGCTTTGCGCTCTCAACTGAAGATGAGGACAGAGCGGTTATGAGAATACCCTGAGGGCTATAATGTTGGATTTTAGCTCAACTCAAGTTTATTTTCGTATCTTACCAATTATCTGTTCTTTAAAAATTCACATTGCTCCACCAAGATTTAAGTTCTTGAAATGTTCATATTGTATCACACAGACTGTTTTTTAAGTTTGAACAAAGAAGACACAAACAATAGACTGCACAATTTATTGCCTGGCTTATTTCGCTGTATCTCGTCAATACCATAAATGAAGCAAATAGCTGAATCCTAGAAACTGAAACACAAATTCGAGTACATTCTAAACTGTCTGTTTCACCAAGGTAAGCGTAAGGAAACGACAATTTATTTCTGCCTACAGAGATCTGGTTCAGATTTGCTTCATTTTAATCAGTTGTTACTGTAGTATGCACCTGACGAGATACAGCGAAATTTGCCAGGCAATAAATTGTGCAGTCTATTGTTTGTGTCTTCTTTGTTCAAATTCACATCGGGGAAACACTGCTTTGTTTGTTAAGTGCCCATAACTCACTAACCTAGAGCTCTAAATTCAACAAGAAAAACGCGACGTAACTTACTTGTTATAGCTTAATTAACAAAATGGAAAGGGCAACGTAACTTACCCCCCCCCCCCCCCCATAACTAATATTATCACAACAGGTAGAGAAACATAACTTACCCAAAGAAAGCTAACTTTAACGAGAAAGGACAAGATAACTCACCCCAAAGAAGCTATTTTTAACGAGATTGACAATGCAACATAACTTACCCCGAAGAAGCTTACTTTAACGAGACAGAGCAACATAACTTACCCCCAAAAAAGCTAACTTTAACAAAACAGATTGGGGCAACATAACTTACCACAAAAAAGCTAATTTTAACAAAACAGATAGGGCAACATAACTTACCCTTATGTAGAATTGTTAAAGCAGACAAATATTTGAAACATTCAAATTGGCGGGTGGGGGAGAGTGTCAGCACCTTTACAGATTTTCTAGGAGAAGGAGCCCATGGGCTTTATGTTTGCTTAAATGCGTAATACTAGTAAATAAATTTTTTTAACGCAAAAAAAATACAAGCATACACTTTTTAATGTGAAATATTTAAACAAATAAAATAAAGATACTTTTTATACGTGGTCAGAGGGGCCGCTTAGCATCCTTACAATATTTATGGGATCGAACTCCGTTAACCTCTAGGATTTACTGGGTGTGGGGCAGCGGGTGGGCTCAATACGCATAGACCTTTAGGTTCTGGTACCCTTGACCCCAAAACATATTTTAGCAAGACAGACAAGACAACTTGACTTACTTCCCAGCACTGACTTTAGCAACATAGACAAGACAACTTGACTTACTTCCCAGCACTGACTTTAGCAACATAGACAAGACAACTTGACTTACTTCCCAGCACTGACTTTAGCAACATAGACAAGACAACCTGACTTACTTCCCAGCACTGACTTTAGCAACATAGACAAGACAACCTGACTTACTTCCAAGCACTGACTTTAGCAACATAGAGAAGACAACTTGACTTACTTCCCAGCACTGACTTTAGCAACATAGACAAGACAACCTGACTTACTTCCCAGCACTGACTTTAACAAGACAGACAAGAAAACTTGACTTATCACCGAGCACTGACTTTAACAAGACAGACAAGCCAACTTGACTTACTTCCCAGCACTGACTTCAATGAGACAGACAAGACAACATGACTTACTTCCTAGCAGTGACTTCAACAAGACAGAAAAGACAACTTGACTTATCTCTGAGCACTGACTTCAGCAAGACAGACAAGACAACTTGACTTACTTCCTAGCGGTGACTTCAATGAGACAGACAAGACAACATGACTTACTTCCTAGCAGTGACTTCAACAAGACAGAAAAGACAACTTGACTTATCTCTGAGCACTGACTTCAGCAAGACAGACAAGACAACTTGACTTACTTCCTAGCGGTGACTTCAACAATACAAAAAAAGACAACTTGACTTACTTCCTAGCAGTGGCTTCAACAATACAGACAAGACAACTTGACTTACTTCCCAGCAGTGACTTCAACAATACAGACAAGACATCTTGACTTACCTCTGAGCACTGACTTCAGCGCTCTCCTCTTTGGTAATCTGCAAGCCACGAAGAGGTTGAATGCCTTTCCTAAAGACCTGCCACATATACGGGGACAACCATCCGAACGTCATGTAGTTAATAAATCCATTTGTCTCTAATGGGAGAACACCCTTGGGTCTGAAACATAGATCGTCGCGTCTCCATTATTTTCTTTCGCACAGTAATAGTCACTAAAGTTAGGTTAGTTGCGTAACCTTAACAGGAGGTTGCAGAACCAACCCCAGCAGCGCCTGGCTGGTGTGTGGTTTCTCTAGGCAAATTTACGTCCAGTAGTTTGCCATTGCTTCTGGACAGTCGTCTTTTTTTATACCACTGTCGAAACCAACGCAAGGCGCATGGCCCGCAGCTGGGATCGAACCCGGCACCCCAGGATTACGAAACGTTTGCTTCGACTTAGCCACAGGGCCGGCAGTCACTAAAGTTAAGCAACCTTTTTTATGAAGCCAGAAAGTGTTATGTAAATTCTAACTCAAAACCTTCGGGTCGGTGATAGGGAAGGAGTTGGAGATGTTACTGTTTGGAAATGAAACTTCAGGAACAAATTAAAACTATCACTGAACTAAAAGAAAAAAAATTATTCTAATATCAAATCAGCACTGTTGTATGGAGCGGTAATACGGAGAATAACTAAGGCAATTAATGATAAACTACAAACATTCATTAACTTGTGCCCGCACAGTATTAGGGAATTAATTGGTATGATTTAATCACTAATGTATAGCTTTGGGAGAGAACTAAACAAGTTCCAGCGGACCAACAGGTGAAGAAAAGACGCTAGCGTTGGATAGGACACACGTTGAGAAAACCTGAGAACAATAAAACTAAAATGTCTTTGCACTGGAACCCAATGGGGCATTGAAATAAAGGGAGTAAAAAAAAAACGAGGAGGAGGAGGGAGCTAGAGAGTAAAGTTACCAAGACGGGGAGGACATCGGGAGAGCTGCATGCGATAGCGAAGGATAGAACGACTTGGTGTGAGTTGGTGGAGGGTTATGCTCCATTGGGAGCTAGAAAGGCAGAAAAGAGAATCTGAAACACTTTGTTTTTGCTTTTGCTTTTTTTTTCTGACTCTTTCTTCTACCTTTTGAGGCTCATAAGATTTGACTTTTAATAACAATCTGGCTAAGGAATTCACTCGGCATGTTCCGGAAATATGACATTGTTTGGTCATTCCAGACAACGCTATCACGGCTTGTTTGTGTCTTCTCTGCAGTCACTGATATTGTCTGGAGAGAGGTAGGTAAACAAAGATAGGGCGCGGTGTCGTGACTAATTTTGACTGATTGAAGTTCGTATTCCCAACAAATGTCGTATACCAAGCACAAGTTTTCACGTCTAAGCAGGACGTACACCAAAGCGTACGTTTACTAATGTACCACTGTATACAGAATGAAAATACTCCGACATCTAGGGAACATATCTAGGCTACTTTTTATTTTGTTTTGTTTTGTTTTGTTTGCAAGTGCACTAACCACTCTGCAACTGAGGGTGTGCCTGATATCATCCTCATTATCATAATCGTCGTCACCATCATCATCATGATCACCACCAACATGATCACCACCATCATCATCACCACCAACATCATCCCCACCAACATCATCACCACCAACATGATCACCACCAACATCATCACCACCAACATCATCACCACCAACATCATCATCACCATCACCACCAACATGATCACCACCATCATAATAATAACCATCATCATCAACATCATCATCAACATCATCATCACCACCATCATCATCACCATCATTATCACCGTCATCACCACCACCATCATCATCATCACCATCATCATCATAATAACCATCATCATAATAACCATCATCATAATAACCATCATTATAATAACCATCATCAGAGTAACCATCATCATCACCATCATCATCATAATAACCATCATCATCACCATCATCATAGTAACCATCATCATCACCATCATCATCATAATAACCATCATCATCACCATCATAATAAACAACATCATCATCACTATCATAATCACCATAAACATCATCATCACCATCATCATAACAAACAACATCATCATCATCATCGTCATCACCATCATACAACAGGTCCCTTTAAGAACGTTGCTCACATCATAGCCTGTCTTTTTTTTTTTTTAAATTGCAGTCCCTGGACAGCTCTCCCGCCTCATACACTTTCCTGCCCAATGTCTCTCTCACGTCCTATGCCCATCTTCGTGCTGGTCGCTCCCTGCCTCTCTTACCCTGTACCATGCCATCCATTACCGCTTTTTTTCTCGTTTGATATGGCCAAGGCATTTACATTTCCTAAACAATATCTTGTTTACGAGCCAGTTTTCCTTGAAATTCATATCTATTCGTATGTCAATGTTTAGTTTCGTCTTAGGCATTAATTTAGTTTCGTCTGAGGTAATAATACATTAGCTTTCCAACAACACACAAAGTTAGAGAAAGGTACTTACGATTTTGCAAATCGAACTGGGAAGGCGTTCTTTAAACCTTTTTTGTAACGGCTTAATCCAGGTGTTCTAAGAATTTTTGTTCCAAACTCATATCCCACTTCATCCTCCTTGGACAGGAAGCTGAAATCAGGAACGAAAAATATCTAGAAAAGTACAGCATGCTCATTTCTATGGCTAAACAACAGTCTCATTATGGTCTCGGTGAGCAGAGAACACATCGGATCTTGTCGGTTCTCGCTTCTTGCTTAGACCTCAGACAGGTTAGTTGTGTATCCTTTACAGGACGCTGCAGAACCAACCCTAACAGCCCCTGGCTGTTGTGTGGTTTTTCTAGGCAAATTTACGTCCAGTAGTTTGCTACTGCTTTCTGGACGGTCGGCTTTCTTGATACCACTGTCGAAACTAACGCAAGGCGCATGGCCCGCAGCTGGGATCGAACCCGGCATCCCGGCATTACGAAGCGTTCGCATCGACTTAGCCACAGAGCCGACTTCAGACCTTAACTCTTTCTTACTATAAGGTTTAACGGGAGATAACGTAAAATTAAGGGGGGTGGGGGGGCATGATGACAAGTTATGAATAAGTTACATTCAAAGGGGCAATATACACAGCTAGTGACTTTTTTGGGAACGCCACATTTCTTTAATATGTTCTGACCAAATATAATAAGTCATTGTGTAGCAGGTCCTATGCAAAACGTCGCTCTCATCAAGGTCTGCCTAAAAGAAACTCGGACTCTCGCCAGCTCTTCCGCCTCGTGTACTTTCATATTCAAGGAGTCACTTATATCCTGTGTCCATCTTCGTGCTGGTCGGCCCCTGCCCCTTCTTCCTGGTACCATGCCTTCCGCTATTATTTTTTCCAATCCCCCATGGCGCTTGGTATGACCGAAATATTGCAACTTCCGAAACAAGAGGCTGTTTATTAGCCAATCTTCCTTGATGTTACGGTCTTTTAAAAAGTCAGTATTTCTTCTCTTATTTGTCCATGTTATTCTGAAAATCTCTCTATAGCATTTGAGCTCAAAAACCCCTATTTTATTTCTTAAGGACTGGAAGATAGTCCACGACTCTCATCCTTGCTGGTGCATAACAAAAGACTTTTAATGTTGTTTAATCTTTGTATTGCTATTGTTAATCTCTTGTTGATTTCTGTCCAACAGTCTCCACCTCTATTTATAGACATTCAAAGTCTGATTTAACGAGCAAAAGAACACATTACGTTATGCAGTGAAATCAAGGGGCAGAGTCATTCAGGCACCAGGCTGTAATCAGGACTGAAAGAATTAAAGCGGTGTTTCACAGCCGGTGTTCCGTGAAGCCCTCCCCCACCCCGAACCCCTCGCCCCCCCCCCCACCCACCACCTCACCCCATGCCGTGTGGCAGTGGAGCCATGTCTATCCACACCCTTCTGTCTTGTGTCTTCTTCTGCCTGTCTAACCTCCCAATGCAGCACAGACTCTCAACCAACTCACGCCAAGTTGTTCTATCCTTCGCCATCTCAGGCAACTCTTCCCATGTCCTTCCCATCTTTTTAACCTCTCTCTTGGGTCTTCCTTTATTTCTATGCCCCTGTGGGTTCCGGTACAAAGACAGCCTAGTTATACTGTTCGCATGTTTTCTCAATGTGCGACCTATTCAAAGTCTGCGTCTTTTCTTCACCTCATGGTCCACTGGATCTAGTTTAGTTCACTCCCAAAACTCTACTTTAGTGATTCTTCTATTTAATTCCCTCCATTCTGCACAGGGCCAGTTAGCGAGTGTTTGTAGTTTATTTGTCTGCTGTACTTTCAGTCAATTCTGATTAAGATAATGTTTCATGTCATGACGTCACACTGTTCAGCCTCTTCTCCCTCGGTCTATGTCTGCCTCTTTTATCTTCCAACTTCACCATGGTCACACTGTGCTCCAGTTTTCTCCTTCTAATGACTTGACCAAACAATGTAGACTGTCTTCTTCTGATGTGGGTAATCAGTTCTCTTCAATTTCCTTCAAGACATCTTCACTACTCTTTATATTTCTCCAGGATATTTTCGCCATTCGTCTATAAAGCCGTATTTCCACCGCTACCAAGTAATTGTCCAGCTGTCCACGCGTCACCTCCGTAAATCAAAATAGGATTTATATAGCTCTTGGGAATGTTCCCTTTCTCGTCTCAACTGACGAAGAAAAACAGCATGGAATATTCTTCAATTTGTCAAATACTGCCTGTGCTTGCTGAGTTTCTAAACCCAACATTTTAGCATTCCAGAATTGTGACCTAACTTATTCTTGCGATTATGAGATTCCGGTATTCCCTTTCCCTCCGCGTGATATCGAGCGAAGATGCACAATTACTGACAGATGTAAGAACTATGTATACGACACAACTAGAAGCGAATATTATCACCATTGCCCTATTGTGTGCCACACAGGGCTTGCAGTCTCTATTCCGTCTTATCCTTGCAATCCTTCAGTATCATGGATGGATGACTCCAGAATTTTTGGCTGCTCCATCCAGTGTTCTTTTTCTGATTTATGGTGGGCGTCCTTACTTCTCCAATCCTTTTATTTCCAAAATGAGGGCCTCTTTAGTGATTCTCTGCTGGTTTCTTCCCAGGACGTGTCCAGTATAACGCCATCTTCTTTGTTGTCTTGCAACTGTTGTAACCAATGGTTGCCTTTACATTTCTAATCCCCCCCCCCCCCCCCCCCTCCCCCCCCCCTCGCTAGTAAATTCAACAGAGGTGTATACATATAGACCCCCCCCCCCACACACACACACACACATGAATTCTTTTTCCGCGCCTTAGATTAGATATATGATGCTATACCTATAATTTATAGACCAATCGAAACATGATGGGTAATATAGTCACGTGGTCATCATCACAACTGCAGCCTTTACTTCTAACGACTTTACATGGTAGCCATTTTAGGCTGCGTCGACCAGGGAGCTAAGGTCATTTACAAGACAAATCCAATTCAGTTCGGGTTTGAAACCATGACCTTTGGGCCCTCAGAAGAAGACGACAAACAAGGAGAAGGAGAAGAAAGAGAAGAAGAAAAAGAAAAAGAAAAAGAAGAAGAAGAAGAAGAAGAAGAAGAAGAAGAAGAAGAAGAAGAAGAAGAAGAAGAAGAAGAAGAAGAAGAAGAAGAAGAAGAAGAAGAAGAAGAAGAAGAAGAAGAAGAAAAAGGAGGAGGAGGAGGAGGAGGAGGAGGAGGAGGAGGAGAAGAAGAAGAAGAAGAAGAAGAAGAAGAAGAAGAAGAAGAAATATCTAACCTGTCAGCAGAAGCCTTCGTTGTCATCTCTTCCTTCTCTTCGTCGTCGTCATTTTCTCCGTCCACAGCTGTGTGTCGGATATCTGGGTCCTGACCCTCCATTGTTACAAGTGAAGCTATGGGTAACACAATATATTCCTTTTCACAACCACCACCATCTAGACCTCACGGGCTATAAAGTCTCTTTCCACAAATCAATCTGTAACTGAGCTACTACAGTCCTTCTGTGCTCCTGCGAACATCGTTTTTACACTTTGGAATCATCTGGAATAATCCACGGGTTACACTCTTTGACATTGTTGTTTACAACCTAGTAAAAATAAAAAATATAAACGTCACTATACATCATTAGTCACTTCAGTCTGTACTTACCACTTTTAAGGACACATAAAAAAGACACTTCTGAAATGCAAACATATGAATATGAACACTAAAAGAAGACTGTCCAACTTGATATTCTTACTAACGCCATGCTATAAATGTCAAACATGGACACTGTCTTCAGAAAACAGAAAGAAATAGTCACGACAGAAATAAAAAATAAAATCTGTACGTACTATGCTAGGTGTAACAAGGAAAGATCGACTTAGGAACGATGATATAAGGAAGAGAGTCACACAGAAGCAATACTGAACTATTTAGGTGGACAACAAATCAAATGGGTAGGCCTTGTAATAAAATTGGCACCAGACAGGATATCACAGAAAGCAATGTTACACAGATACAGCCGTAACAGATCCAGAGATTGACCACGCAGAACATGGACCGCAGAAATATCGGAGACAATGAAAGGTATTTTATACGAAACGAATAGAAGGGCCCGTTCCAAAGATCTCTTCCTGTCCTGATGCCACGAGGCATTCCAGTAGAGACAAGAAGAAGAAGAAGAAGAAGAAGAAGCAGCAGACAGGGATACCTGAGCCTCAGGAAAACATGTATACCAAGGGGCAGAGCAATCAAGAATGCTTTTCCATAACAACAAAAGCAAAAAAAAAAATCATGCTAGCTAAGAACTAATAGATGTATTACGAATAAGTCATTACTGCTAGAGCCTGTTAACCGACTGTTCATCTTAAGCGAGGCCTTGTTAAAGATGTTCCTCCGTGTAAACATCCTTAAAAACAATACAGGGTGTATTTTTAATGACTGTTATTATATTGGCGGTCCAATTTTGTGTAAACACCGTCTGTGGATTTATCAATAAATTATTCCAATTGTGCAACGTATTGTTTGTATCCTCATTAATTAAAATAAATTATGCGTCACGCGCGTCACAATGTCGGACGCAATTTTAGTTGTTGTTTAAAAGCCCTATCTCGGCTGTTGGGTTGAACAGGTTTTCTCGGACCTGTCCCTGGGTGATCCTCCTCCGAATGTTGCACTTTGTGTCACCGGCTGTTTGTAGCTAGGTGTGATGTCTTGGTGGCGTTAGTCAATCTGTTGATTTATTGCAACATATACTGCTATAGTGTGTCGGTTTTCGGGTACTTTTTTCCACATTACAGCTCTATTTACAATCGACTCTACTGGTTATATTACTAACAGTAATAGGATGAGGCACTTGAGTATCAGGAAATTGTTGAACAACCATATTTGACTACCTGCCACAGTTAAGGAACACTTGTTCTGCCAAAATGATTCTTTCTTCAGTAGTAAACACCATTGCAGCTGAGATCAATTAGTAAAACACCGGTGTATAGCAGTGATATTCTAAACTAACAGTTACGTCTCGCTGGAAACATGACGTAATACACAAACTTTATTTTAGTGTGCAAACAGTTGATTTCAAAAAGAGAGTGGCTCAGCCTTTTCATAATTCGCTAATGTGGAGGGAGGGGGTAGGCGGGGGCTTAAAAGACTGCACACATATTGACAAGAAAACGCAAACATAATGTAACTCCATTCAGATCGTTTATTTTGCAAATCATGGTATGGTGTTGTCTGTTTGTCAGTGTGTTACTGAGTTAGTTTATTTCTCGTTACCCCTTCTAGCTTCTATTATTTGTCGTACATACAAGTCTTTCAGAAACAGTTCACTTTTGTGTTTAGTTTTATTTCTCTTGGTCGTTCTGCTGATGAAAGCAAATCGCCGCAACGTCTTTTGTGTAGTTACTATAACTGACTGTAAATCTTACATACATTTTAATGATTTCCCTGCCTTTTTTAATTCCAAGTATTTGTATTGATATTTCAGTACTTTCAAAGCCTTGTTTCGCTGCCATGAATTTGAGAAATGAAGACACAAATAAAATATTGCACAATCTGTTTTTGACTGGCTCGTTTCTCTGTATCTGTTCCTAGTTACAACACCAACATGTCATGAAACACAAAACATGAATCCTTTTTATTAGGTTCATTGGAGATTCCGTTGTGAGAAGTACATTGTAACTAAAAACAATTTAATTTGTGCATTACTTTGTGCTGTCAATGTCAGTCATGGTAGTTCTAGAAATAATAAAAACACAAAATTACAGCAAGTATGATCAGAGTGTAAGACATACTGACATCTTGAAATATCTGAACCTCAAGGAAGATTAGAAAATAAACAGTATCCTGTCTCGGAAGCTGAAATATTTTGGTCATATCAAGCGCCATGACGGATTGGGAAAAAGAATAACAAAAGGCATGCTACCAGGAAGGAGGGACAGGGGCCGACCAACCCGAAAATTGGCACAGGATATAAGAGACTCATTGAGTATGAAAGTGCATGAGGCGGGAGAACTGGCGAGAGACCGAGTTTCATTCAGGCAGACTGTGATGAGAACAACGTCCTCAAAGAACCTGTTACATAATGATGAAGATAAGATGTATAAGAAAAGTGGCGGGGAAAAAACAAAACAATTGACAGGGTCACCAGCGAAGAACTAAGAACATTGGTAAACACAGTGTCAAAGAAATCAATGGTTTGGGTATCTGGTCAGAATGGAACAAAATCAGCCAGCAGTTAGAACGTACTAAATATGAACCACAGGCTACAAGGCAAGTGGCGAACCAAGACAGACATGGGTGGATGGAGTAAAAGAGACACTACAAAAACTCATTATAACATTAGAACATTTCATTGGCATTCATTCACTTCACTGGTACCTTTCCGTCTTTCCAGACGATAGTACATTAGTACAAGTAATTAGCAAAAAAAAGGAAACCACATCTAACTCCTCTCTGCGACACTTCACTGCATAAGGAGTAAGATAAAAGAAAGAAGAAGACGAGACTTTAGTGAAAAGGATTCCCACGGGAATACCTATTCTTATTTCTACTATCTGTTGGTTTTCTCTCAAGGAGAACTCTATAATTCATGTATTTGTATTTTGCCTTCACTAAGTCGATAACTTTCTACTGGATTCCCTAGTGCCTCATTAACTTCCAGAGAGATTCACTAGCAAACTTCTTAAAAGCTTTCTCAGCTTTTCGTTTACGAATTTAATCTAAGTGGTAAATTCATGTCATTTATTCAATATTTCTTTTTATTATTAGACACAGGGCGGTTATCTGGTCGATATATAAACTTTAATATTTTGTTATTATATTATGTATATTATATTATTATTTTTATATTATGCAAACGAGATTATATGAAATAACATTGACAAGAATGTGTAAATGAGGAATTAAGTGTTGATCCGGCAAGGTATGAGGGATGAGAGGAAGAGATTAGCGTGTGCATAATCAGTGTACTACAGGAACAGTTAGCATCTACATCATACGTTATTTGCTGCGGGAGACGGAGCATCCATGGGTATGCCCGGTGTACTATAATGTCGATTCTTAAATCAGTAATTATTAGTCAGTTATATTATTAGACACAGGTCGGCTTTCTTGTCGGTACATAAACTGTAATATTTTGTAATATTATTAGAGGCAGGGCAGCTTTCTGGTCAGTACAGGATGTAATGTCCAAAAAACCTGCCTATTTATCTCTCGGCTGTTTATGAATGGCACCCCTTTTCCCTATAAATGCGCTTAACATTGTTTAGCGGAACAAGTAACAACATTAAATAAGAAATAGGAGGCTTTTCCTTCTTCTTCTTCTTCTTCTTCTTCTTCTTCTTCTTCTTCTTCTTCTTCTTCTTCTTCTTCTTCTTCTTCTTCCTCTTCTTCTTCTTCTTCTTCTTCTTCTTCTTCTTCTTCTTCTTCTCTTCTTCTTCTTCTTCTTCTTCTTCTTCTTCTTCTTCTTCTTCTTCTTCTTCTTTGTTCTTTCCGCTTTGCACACACTGGTAGTAAACTCCAGCGGAGCTACTACTACAGTGTGCTGGTAAAAAGAAAATTACCTAAATTACTCTCACCTTCACTAAGCTTGGCTAAGGTGAATCGATCGAAAAACAATATTTTGTTTGCTGCCTTCACCAAGAATCTTTTAAATTCGTTTTTCTTTAATTTGTTTAGATTTCTGCTTCTATATATGGACGTTGGTTAATATAATATTTTCATTAATGTTTCTATTTACGAAATTAAGCAAGCAGAAATCCAATATAGTTTGTTTTAAATATATATATCAGCACATTTTGGTTAGTTGCGTATCCTTTACAGGACGTTGCAGAACCAACCCCAACAGTCCCTGGCCCTTGTGTGGTTTTTTTAAGCAAATTTACGTCCAGTAGTTTGCCAGTGCTTTCTGGGCGGTCGGCTTTCTTAATACCACTGTCGAAACCAATGCAAGGCGCATGGCCAGCAGCTGGGATCGAACCCGGCATTCCGGCATTACGAAGCGTTCGCATCGACTTAGCCACAGAGCCTACATCAGCACAGTACAAAAGGCATAATACAAACACAATCCAAAAACGCTACGAGACGTCAAGAATTAGGCATGAAACGGACAGGAAGAATGTGCGGAGAAGAAGGAGGCGGTAAAGAAGAAGAAGAAGAAGAAGAAGAAGAAGAAGAGAAGAAGAAGAAGAAGAAGAAGAAAAGAAGAAGAAGAAGAAGAAAGAAGAAGAAGAAGAAGAAGAAGAAGAAGAAGAAGAAGAAGAAGAAGAAGAAGAAAGAAGAAGAAGAAGAAGAAGAAGAAGAAGAAGAAGAAGAAGAAGAAGAAGAAGAAGAAGAAGAAGAAGAAGAAGAAGAAGAAGAAGAAAAAGAAGAAGAAGAAGAAGAAGAAGAAGAAG